CTAAATTACCCTTCTTCGATAAAGCCACGCTTGCATTGCAGATGAGACAGATGGACTTTGAATTGGAATAGATACAAAAATAATCATCCTCCCACTCGGAGTGAAAATTATATATTTTGGGCTTTTTTGCTTCTGCCATAATTGCGGTCTTGTGTGTGTGCGGACTGTCACTCCTGTTGACACGGACAACGTCAGCGAACTAGTGCCCACTGCCCACCAGCCACGCCCCGACACATGGGGTCACGCCGGCCAATCACAAAGCTTTGATGCGTTCAAGTGCATTATTCTGGCACAGAAAGATTATGTTATAGGACATTAACGATAAAACAGAATATTGTTGTTCTATTTTTAGACACATCTCGCGATCGACTGGGAATCTCCCCACGATCGACCGGTCGATCGCGATCGACTGGGAATCTCCCCGCGATCGACCGGTCGATCGCGATCGACTGGGAATCTCCCCGCGATCGACCGGTCGATCGCGATCGACTGGTTGGGCACCCCTGTCCTAACACATGCCTACAAACGCTTAGTGGAGAACCTACTAAAAGTATACTGATAGTCAACTCTAGATTAGTTGACAATCAACAGATAGTCAACTAAACTCTAAAGTTGCTTATCTGTTGATCATCAACTAATGCTTAATGTAATAGTCAACTGAACTTTAGTTGCTTATCTGTTGATCGTCAACTAATGCTTAGTTTCTTGTCGGTTTGAACGGTGCTGTTGAATGTCAACTGATGCACTGTTGACATGCTACTAAATGTCAACTGATGACTTATAGAGTGTTAACTGTATGGACTATCAAAATAAAGTGTTACCAAAATATGTGGTTTATTTATTGAAAGCCACTGTAAACCTTGTTTTGTTGTGGAAACCAAAAGAGAGTTAAAGATCAGGAGAAGGAAACATGCTGGGGAAATTATACAGATGGCCAGTCCGCCCCTGAAAAATGTCTATGCACACGTTATTATTAATAATCATTTAAAAAAAAAAGATAATTTAAAAAAATGTAATTTTTTTAATTTTACATTTTAATTTTGGAATCATCTCGCGACCGCCACTTTGGGAACCCCTGCTCTATGTGATCCAGACAGGGGGATGAGAGACAGAAGTGGACTCCTAACAGCAGTGAACTTCAGCACAGACTCCAAGGTACAAAGACCCTTTTTTCATACTGTACAAAGAATCAAGAAACCAATTGGTTTAAAAAGATTAAGTATTGACTATAATACACTGATATACATGCCATTAAACTAGGGGTGTAACGGTTCACAAACATTTCGGTTCGGTATGTACCTCGTTTTTTAGGTCACGGTACGTTTTCGGTACAGCAGAAAAAATGATCACAAAACATAAAATATTTGTTTTGGGTTTTTAATTATTATCAAACTGAATATTCACTCAAATAAATACAAAATATAATAAAATAAACATTAAAGTGCAGCATTTCGATGAACTGAAATAATCTGTAGTTGAACTGTACTGTACTAGTACTCACCTAAGCAGCCAGCTTGACATTAGGACTTGCTTGTCATTGTATTTTCATGTTTTTTTTAAAGAAAAATGAACTTGTCCACACTGCTTGCCGAAAGGGCAGATCTGCTGGCACTAACAATGTCTCCTGCTGTGGAGAACACCCTCTCGCTAGGGACAGAGGTAGCAGATACAGCCAGGTAGCGCTTTGCTAACATGGCAACATAAGGATATTTGGCGTTTGTAATAGCTTTGGCTCGGTCTGAACTTTTTGCGAGTGGTGGAGGCTTCAATGCTAGTGGGAGTTGGGTTTGCACTTCAGTCATTTTTCTTTTGGTACCGGTGATATTCACGTTCGGGTGATGCCTTTTCAAATGAGTGTGCAAGTTTGATGTATTGCCAGTCGCGCAGGGGCGGGTCTATGGGGCGGGTCTACGGGGCAGCTGCCCCCCCACTATAGAGCCTTGCCCCCCCACTATAGAGCCTTGCCCCCCCACTATAGAGCCTTGCCCCCCCCCAGCTGCCCCCCTAAATTGTGTGTCCCTAAAACTGTACTTGTAGAAACAAACCTACACTATGTCCACAAGATTATCAAGCAACAAAACAAGCAGTACATTAATTAAAAGTGAATAATTTTAAAAATCATCTTAGGCCCGTTAAAAACGTAGCTACGGCCCTGCATTAAACTGCGGAGCGGCATTCACAGACAGCGGCTCACACCGCTGCAGAGAGGGAGCGAGCTGTCCCAGCACCTGAAGGTGGATCAGCTTCCCCTTGGAGCATCTCCCCTTCCACTAGTTTAGTTTTTACTAAGGACGCTCGATAGCGTTTAACAGACGGTCGCTGTTTGGGGCGTGTACCGAACCGAAGGGCCCATACCGAATATTTTCGGTAGGAATACGTATACCGTTACACCCCTACATTAAACATTACCACATGCTAGATCACCTACACATCAGTGAAGTTGAGTGTTCTTTCCATGCAAAAAGTTAACAAGCAACATTACTTTTGCCAGCTTTCTTATTTCAATGTATTGAAGGCAAAGGTTATTTAACACAAAGTGAGAACTGCTACTATTTATCGCTTTATATTGTGTATATGTGGTAAAAGTGATGATTTCAGTGAGACAACCGAACAGAGCAAGCTTCTACAGTTGCACTAAGTTTTGATAACAGATCAATATTATTTTGATAATAAAATATATTTGAATGTTGATTAACTTCATTCATAATCTGATTGTCTTTGTAGCTCACTATTGAAAAATGGATTATATCTAAACACAAACACACCTCTTTCATAAATAACACACTTGCTCTGCAATAATGTCATGTTTTATGTTTCCTGTCATTTCTGTTAGGAAAGGACATGCCTGAAAGACACGACTCAGCTTTTTCTCTTTCTCCGAGGGTCAAGAAGAACATCCACGGGGAAAAAGGTGGATGTTATGAGATTTAAGACCAGTACAGGACATTCACTAAGACGCTACACTTTTATTGTGAAAACAAAGACCTGCACACTGAACAGTTTTGTAGTAACAGGACCATCATTTGTTTGTGACGTTGCACCTCAGAGAAGGTCTGGTTATTGTCAGGCCTATAAAGTGTGGCAAAAAAAACAGTCAGCTGTTCAAATGCACCTATTTCCACATCTACACTCCATCAGCTGATTATTTCTATTTGCCTCACTTTATAAGCTTTACATCACTTGTACGGTCACAAAAAAATGGTGCCAATCTTCAGTCAGATGTGACTGTGTTTTTTGTAAGAATAACAGACAAAAGGTGTGGAAATACCATATGTGGAAATATGTGAACCAGAAGTTATCAAAGTTGAACCATCATAAATGTTTTAAATAACAACATTTGGTCAAATAAAGTGACAGACTAGGCCTGTGCAGGTGGTTACAGCTACGCCCACTGTCTGACTGGAGGAATGAGATTTCTGAATCAGTTTCTTTTACTGTCCTTCTTTCTGTAGAGGAAGTAAAGAAACCGTAACTCTGTTGTTTGAGGTGCAATATATGACTCAGCAGCTTTAAAGGTCACCTATCATGCTATTTTTAGGCAATAGCATAGGTCTCAGATATATAAAAAATATAAAAAACATGTCTATGAAGTGTTTTGGTCAAACAACCAAACAGATCACCCAATCTAGCCATGCCTCATATCCCTCTATTTCACTTCCTGTTACAAAAGTGCTGATTCTGGGTACAAACAGGTCTCTCTTGAGAATGAGACCCTAGGCCTGTACTACGAAGCCGGATTTTCCTAACCTGGATATGTTGGAGTTAGCCGGTTGGCCCAATCCAAAACATACGCGCTCTCGCTAAGCTGTACTACGACGCTGGTTATCAAGTGGATCGCTCAAGCCAGCCGTGTCCTATCTAGTTAGGTGCGCGTTCACATGAAAGGGGTGGTATTTGGAGCATTCGACCAATCACAAACATGGACAAGCGTACTGACAGCGCAGCGTCATACTTCCTGAATGAAAAGTGAACTTTAATATTAGTCATATATGAAGAAGTTAAACTTTAAACATCCATGACTTAAACACTTTATCCAGGATCAAAGCCACATAGCTGCACCTGCAAGGTGAATACAGCTGGTAACAGAGAAAGTGTTTGAATGCGTACATTAACAGGTTTATGAAATCACTGCCCCGTCCAAGACACGATCTGACTTTAATTACATTTGACTCAAGTGTTTCGTCAACTTAATGTGTTGCTTAAAATAATACTTCTGCATACAGTATGTGACACTGTGAGTGTTGCACGGCCAGATACGGCTCAGCTGACTCAGATAAGGAAATATATGATACATTATGATGTGATATGATATGAATGATAATGGGACACATCGACGTCTGCACTCACAGTGCCACGGACTGTACTTAATGTTACTCTGATCCGGTTACTTATGTTGTGGCAGATATTTAAGTAAGCTTTCTTAACGCTAATGTTATAATACTCAGATTGCTCTGAAGATGGGAGGGGATATTCTATTAATGTTCACGTTCACACAGTCAGTTGATTTTTGCCGGCCGTCTTTCCTGCAACGGCAGTTTTTCTGTATTTCCTCTATCCTGTAATATGAATTGATCGCTTTAAACTCCGCACACGGAGCTCTGATTGGTCAGCAGGCGGTGCTTTCACGGAGTTGATCTCTTAGCCTGCAACCTAACCTCCTCCAGAGGAGGTTAGCCGCTCAGCATAAGTTACCATGGAGATCTAGCCCGCTAAAAAGAGAACCAGCGTCGTAGGACCGGAAAGCCCGAGATTTCCCTGAAGTCAGCCGGCTAAGCGAAAATCCGGCTTCGTAGTACAGGCCTCCTGTGTCTCAATGAGACTTTGACCTGTATAAATAAAGGCTAAATAAAAAACTGTCTAAAATGCTGCGGTGATGAAACGCAAGGATTATTAGAACAAGGATTATTTCTGTATGGAGCTCAAAGGCCTTCTCTCTCGCCGGTTATACCACAATGTGAGTTCCTTTTTATAAAGAGAGAGTGAATAAAGAGGGAACAGACCTGCTCTGTGGATCTGAAGCTGAGGCTGTAAAACAGCGTCCAGTAGTTTCCGGTGTCTCTCGTTCTCCTGTTTTGAACGAGACAGTTCATCCTCGTACTCTGCTATCGTTCTTTCAAACAGAACAAAGATGTCTTCAGCAGCCGCAGTGAGTCGCTGCTTCACCAACGAGAGCAGCACAACACTCATGTTTACTAAATCACCACTTCCTGTTAAACACACCGTTTCTCCGTGTGCTTCAGTCTCTGTTAAACACACTGTTTCTCCGTGTGCTTCAGTCTCTGTTAAACACACCGTTTCTCCGTGTGTGCTTCAGTCTCTGTTAAACACACTGTTTCTCCGTGTGCTTCAGTCTCTGTTAAACACACTGTTTCTCCGTGTGCTTCAGTCTCTGTTAAACACACCGTTTCTCCGTGTGCTTCAGTCTCTGTTAAACACACCGTTTCTCCGTGTGCTTCAGTCTCTGTTAAACGCACCGTTTCTCCGTGTGCTTCAGTCTCTGTTAAACACACCGTTTCTCCGTGTGTGCTTCAGTCTCTGTTAAACACACCGTTTCTCCGTGTGCTTCAGTCTCTGTTAAACACACCGTTTCTCCGTGTGCTTCAGTCTCTGTCAAACACACTGTCTCTCCGTGTGTGCTTCAGTCTCTGTTAAACACACCGTTTCTCCGTGTGCTTCAGTCTCTGTTAAACACACTGTCTCTCCGTGTGTGCTTCAGTCTCTGTTAAACTCAATGTTTCTCCGTGTGCTTCAGTCTCTATTAAACACACCGTTTCTCCGTGTGTGCTTCAGTCTCTGTTAAACACACCGTTTCTCCGTGTGCTTCAGTCTCTGTCAAACACACTGTCTCTCCGTGTGTGCTTCAGTCTCTGTTAAACTCAATGTTTCTCCGTGTGCTTCAGTCTCTATTAAACACACCGTTTCTCCGTGTGTGCTTCAGTCTCTGTTAGACACACCGTTTCTCCGTGTGCTTCAGTCTCTATTAAACACACCGTTTCTCCGCGTGCTTCAGTCTCTGTTAAACACACCGTTTCTCCGTGTGCTTCAGTCTCTATTAAACACACTGTCTCTCCGTGTGCTTCAGTCTCTGTTAAACTCAATGTTTCTCCGTGTGCTTCAGTCTCTGTTAAACACACCGTTTCTCCGTGTGCTTCAGTCTCTGTTAAACACACCGTTTCTCCGCGTGCTTCAGTCTCTGTTAAACACACCGTTTCTCCGTGTGCTTCAGTCTCTGTTAGACACACTGTTTCTCCGTGTGCTTCAGTCTCTGTTAAACACACCGTTTCTCCGTGTGCTTCAGTCTCTGTTAGACACACTGTTTCTCTCTGAAGCTTCCTGAGCTGCTGTTCAGCTGGACGGCAGGAAGCAGAGGTTTGGGAGGATGATGTCCCTGATGCTGTTTAGATTTCTCCAGCACCACGGGGGGTCCTGTGTGGATGGCAGCTCCTTCCTCAGCAGATCCAGTTCTCCAGAATTGTCCTAATTACAGAGAAAACAAGAGAAAAATAAGAAAATGTATTAATCTTATTAACAAAAGATGATTGCAAAATGATGACCATCCCTAAAGGATTATTTAAAATTCCGTACTGTTTAGGTTTTAAAAATGTCTATATCTATACAAAACATGTCTCTGAAGTGTTTTACTTAGTTAAGAACTATCGGAACTATACTGGGAAAAGTACTCCGGTGTGAAAGTGCCTATTGATGTGTTTTGCTCAAAATACAAATAGATCATGCATTTTAGACATCCCTCATATCCCTCTATTCCAGCCCTGTTATGCGGCTTTCACACCAGCGCTTTTCCCGTTCTAGCTCCGTGCTAGAGCTTTTCTGGTTCACACCGCCCAGAGCCCGACTGGTGCTGCTGCTGATGACGTCACCGTTTACATCGCTGATTTGCTCCCCAACGGCGTTACGGCGCTCACTACAACTACAACAACGGGGGGGGACTGCGTCGGGTCGATGATCGTGTTGCTTTTAATCATACGAAGCCAGATTAAATTAAATAACGACTTCTCCAACCTTATACTTTTCTCCAGAGTGCCGTGGTTCATTGTTTATGAATGTGTTTCAGCGGCATTTAGCGACAGCTGCAGTGCTGGCTGCTCTTCCACGGGAGTGTATTCTGCGTTCAGCTTTTCTACACTCTGTTTTTGCTGTTCTCACGGTCATGGCTTTTCTACATGGAGATATTTTCTTGCCATATACTTCCTTTATTTTAATGGGAGCAATGGTATCCATGACATTTGTCATTTTAGAATTAAAATGGTCAACTAGCTCATTTACTGAGACGTTAGCAGGGGCAATTGAGGAAGAAAAATTCTGAACAAACATTTCCTCTGCATTTTCAGATAAGTAACGTCTAGTGGTTACCTCTTTCTTAAAAACTGTATGGACGGAAATAGAGCTCTCAAAGAAAACACAGGAATGATCAGAGAGTGCAACATCAGTCACCACAACCTCAGAGATATTCAGACCCTTTGAGATAATGAAGTCCAGAGTGTGCCCCTTATTGTGCGTGGGCTCCGTCACATGCTGAGTCAGTTCATAGTTATCAAGAACACAACACAGTTATTTAGCCCCTCTGTCCTGGGGGTTGTCAACATGGATATTAAAATCACCAACAATGACTAAACGGTCAAAGTCAATACACACTATAGACAGCAATTCGGTAAAATCATCTAAAAAGCTTGCACAGTATTTGGGTGGTCTGTAGATGTTTAGGAACAGAGCTCGAAGGGGCATTTCAGCTGAAGGGCCACATATTCAAAAGAAGCAAAGTTTCCATACGTAGTCTGCTTGCATTGAAATAAATCATTAAACAAAATAGCTACTCCACCCCCCTTTCTTATGCAGTCTTGCCTGACTGGGGTTGATTCAATAAGAACAGCTGTGCTGTTGTTTTGGTCTAACCAAGTTTCAGTTAAAAACATAAAATCCAGATTGTGCTTGGTGATAAAATTATTGATTAAAAAGATTTTACCTACTAAAGACCTGACATTTAATAAAGCCAGTTGAAGTGTGTTAGATATACTATCACTCTGATTGTTTGTGATAAACCGTGGAGTAAGTGGAACTACTGTTACATTTGATGAATTCAAACGGATGGTTTTGGACGTTCTGTTTTTAACCTGATTCACCAACCTTCTGTGTATGTTGGTGAGAACAGAAATGGGGAGCTGCACTGGCATAGAAGCCTCTGGTCGTTGGGTGGCGCCAGAGAGCGAGATGGCAGGTGTCAGCGGCATCAGTGAATAAAAGTTTCTGGTAGTTGCAGTGTTATTGAACATGGCCCTATCCAGTTCTGCTGTGGTATGGCTATATATCACTGTCAAATACATACAAAATACTGTCAATAATCATTTTAAAAATGTATAATTGCAAGAAAATATATGGTATGGTAACACTTTATATTAAGGTACACAAATTAACCATCAACTAGTTGTTAATTAACATGCATATTAGCAGTATATTGGCTCTTTATTAGTCATTATAAAACACTTATTAATGCCTTATTCTACATGACCGTATTCTCCAAGTAATAAGCCATTAGTTGAGAGTTTTTCCAATAACCCTCTAATTAGTGCTTATTTATTGCAAGTAAGGAAGTTGTTGTACATGAGTTTTGTATAACAGATATGGGCCTAATGAGGCAGTAGTACCACAAGAATAGTAATTCTCCCATAATAACCAGACCCGGCGCCAGAACAAATCTAAAGGGAGGGCATATGATTTTCATGGGAGGGCACACAAAACCGTAATGTGCTGCGGGCCTGCGGCACAATATATATCAAACAGCAAGGCCAACTCTGCATCTTTGTGCAGCGTATACTCAAACAGCGATAGGAAGAGCCCACTGCCTGACTCGGACATGCTGTGGAGTGAATCGTGGTCACCTCTGAGAGGGAGTTGGTTGACAGCTAAAAAAGCTATCATATCAACGACAGCTGACACGTAATAACGGTTCCGTGCCAGCTGATCTGTGTGCACCAAAGTACTAATTTCCTTATTTGTTTCCTCGCGTATCTGTTTCTCTCTCCACAAACTCTCACATGAAATGTGTTCTTTTGATGCGGCATGTCTTAGCAGTCCTTTATCAGTCTGTAATGCGGGTTTCCCGTCGCAAAAACCTTTGACAGTAAAAGCCGCATCAGATGAAGACGTATTTACTTTAAACTGTCTACAGGGGAAACAAAAGGCTGCGTCTGCTTTTAGCGAATATTCAAGCTATGGTCTGTTGTTGTACCATGCAGTGGCAAAAGTGCGCTTCTTTCCTGAAAACAATCTCCCTGGATAACGATCCAGTTTCACCTGGTTGGGTTTATTAACCCCAAGATCATCTGGGGCTGTTGGTCTTTGAGCGTACCAATAGTACCTGTTGATGTGCTGCAAGATAGCGTCTGTAGTGGAGGCACCGGCACGGAGGAGGAGGATGCTGGCGGGTGTGCTACAGGGTGTGGCAACGCAGGTGGTGATGGTAGGGGCACAAGGAGCTGTGCCTCGGAGGACAGCGTTGGTGGCGCCCGCCTTGATGAGTCAAGGATTGGGCTCGCTAACTCAGCCCCGGGGTTTGCCGAGGTCAAGCTTGTGACATTAAGGCGTGCTGCTGCAACGGCAGGTGCAGGGACGCCAGCAGCACCATCGGCTGCAGTTCTTTCATCGCTCTTTCGTTTTAATAAATCCTTAGACCTTTTAAGCCAATTTCTGATGTCCATTTTGTAATCCAAACAGAAATGGGAGTCTACAGAATGCACAATAAACAATAAACAAATCCAGAATAGGCGGCAGAGTGTGACGCTGTGATTGGTCTAAATGTGGACGAATCACAAATCACAACAGACACATGAATTTATTTGACGTAGCCTGTGATTTTTTTTTATAGTTACTATCTGACATCACATACATCGTAGCATAAAAGTTCACAGTTTATTTATAATTAAAAAAATAAAGATCTTTTAAAAAAAAAAATTGATAAATAATAAAAAACTTGTTTATTGGGGAGGGCAGGAATGTCAAATGGGAGGGCCTGGCCCTCCCTGGCCCTCCCACGGCGCCGGGCATGATAATAACACTTAACAAATATGATCTATTCTTATGTAACAAGACATGAAACTATAAGTGTTATATAAGCTAAACCTATCACTCCTTCTCTATTCCCACAAGCCTATCATAGAGCATTGCTAACCCTTTAAATCTGCTCTCTCCCCTCCTGACAGCTGTCATTTCAGGAGACTGGACGCAGCCCTCCTCCACCCCTTCCACCTCCCAAATCCAGGGTCAAGCTTAAACCAGT